CCTCGCTAACGATTAAACTGCTTTATCGAACATGTCATTCGTAGTGCAGAGGACAGCGAGTGAGGCTCGCAGAACATTAAGCAAGATTGAACCTTACTCTTTACGAAAGAGTAAGGTTCAATCTTGCTTGATGTTCTCTTTTGCAGTTGTGGTTCGTATTTTTCGGAACTTCCGTAGCACGTTTGCGGGATTTCCGCAGGTGGGACGGAGAACGGCGGAACTTTCCCGAACGTTCTGCGGAAATTCCAGGCAGTTGTCTGAGTAAGTAAACGTTAAACGCACAAATACTGACCGTCGTCCATCACTGCTAACTGCACTTCTTGTTCAGTACCATTTGGTGTATGAACTCGGTAGATCTCGCCAACTACATAGTGGACCTAAAATCAGAATGTCAATGCCCCGTCATCAACAAATCCTAAGTAGCACTCACAGGCTTCGGAGTTCCTTTGTTCACTTCACCATCTGCCATGAGAGTGGGAGGCATGTCTACTCCTGGTTTGAAATCAGAAGTTGGTGTACCGATTATTGGTCCATCCAAAACAGGTGGCTCCATTTCACCAGTGGGATCATCATCAAAGTTATTTTCGCTGGTCTCAAAGCTAATGCTGGGTTGTTCAGCGGTTTCCTTCTTCATAGGAGCTAGTTTAACAGCTGAAGAAGTGCCTCGAGCCTGTGTAGTGACAGCCGGAGGCGCATCTAGTACGGCAACCTGAAATCATTCCTATGAAAAATGGCTACAATTTGCTAGGTTTATCTTCCACTAATCCATGAACTTCCTGGTCGATAAATGAAGTGGAATGCCCCACATTCTGCACCTGCTGTGGAACTCATAAAATACTGACCTCAACAGATGCTTCGGTATTTCTCCGCGCGGTGAACTTCGCCGTAACAAATACTTCATTGATGATATCTCCGGAATCAAACGGCTGAATATCTACAAGATCGTTCTCCATGTCATACTCAACAACAGCATCGTTTCCGAGATCGACGTTTCGATCAAGAAGTTTCCCATCGCTAGTGCTGGCCTAAATCATATATTTCTTAATTACAATTACTTGCTAGTCGGAGAAAGATCCCACGTCGCCACAGCGAAACGAAACGAATATCTGGACGCGTTTTGTTTAGCTGATTCCAAATCTAACTTGTGCATATGCTGCGCAGTTTTCAAAAAGAAGCTACAAACGTTTGAAGGTCCGGATTTTGCAAACATTTGGTGCTTCAACTGGCGTATGCGTCATTTCTCCTACTGAGTGCTTCAATTGGCGGATTATGCACTCTTAAACTGGTTTTTGAAGCAAAATGGAAGGCAGATTTGATATCAGCTCAATAAGATGAAACTAATGGTTTGTATTTCGTTCCAGTTCGCCACGGCTAGGGATCCCTCCTTGTTAGAAAGAAAGCGGTGAAAGTGTAAAAAAACCGGATTAATCGAAAAATTCCAAATTCAATCAGTAAAATTTACATCTCGCAAATAGGCCCAAAGCATATGATCATCAGTTTCACACCAATTTCATGTTCAACTCAAGCTTAATCCTATGTATTTTAACTTCTCTAGCACCAAAAACAATGTACCCTGGATTTAATTGCTGAAGATGGCGTGACAAAAACAAAAAAAAACGCCCCACAGAAAAGATCACATTCAACAATCCAGCAACCCGCTACTTTTGTATATGACATACTTCTAAGTAGGATGCTCATAAGAAAGAGGCTAAAAAAGAGAAACAAACCGATGAATGTGGTGTGCCAGCTCCAACCCGATCAGCTGAAACATGAGCTTTGATTAATGGAAGAAATGATCGGAAAATGGAGAGAATGATGGAATTAACGAACCTGCCACCTTGGTCGAAAAGCCAGCAACTGCAGGGTCCTTCACATCGTGATCCTGAAAAACATATGTTGAAGGTAATTTTAAGACGATGAATATACGGAACATACCGTAGCTAAACTAGGTCTTTTCACGCGTGGCCGACGCTTGGGGCTAACAGGTGTGGGACTTAATGCTCGCTTCGGCCTTGGTTCTCTCGCCGACCGTCGCAATCCCGGTGCAGATGAGGCACTTGCCTCAGCGTTTCTGAAGCTATCAATGAATTTGATACTGCAAAGGAAAATCAAAAAATCTTCGCTAA